GGAAAAAAGACACGGAGAGCTCCAGCTACTCAGTCTGTCCATCACTCTGTCCGTCTGCAGGGCAAGTTCGACCGTCTGCTTCAGAAGCTTTTTTTTTTTTTTTAAACAAAAGCACATTAAGTTGCAGTGTAGCTCTCTTATTCAGGCAGCAAGTGTGATGATTTAAGTTGCAGTTGGTGTTTGACATTCTTATTAATAGCAGAACAATCTGAACATGGGCTGAAACCTGTCCCAGCTGTCCCAGTATATTTACCCGTGTGGTAGCAGCTAATCATGAGTTGAGAGGCTGTTTGTTTTGGTGGCGCTGTGGGTAATTTCACTGTGAAATACAGGTTTGTTTGTTGTGTCTGTTGTGGAATCAATTCAAGTCGGTTTAGCAATGACTTATTCATATCCTGCATGAATTTTGGATTGTACGCTATAACGAGCAATAATTTTTCTTTCTCTCTCTCTCTTTTTTTTTTTTGTAGTGCTATCTCTCCAGCCCAGCCTACCTCAGCAATTTATTGTTTATGCATGCATATTTTAGTAATGTTAATGGGCATACAATATTAAATGCTGACTGTTTGTCTAAGCCTCCCTGTGCAGTGCTTAATAAAAAAAACAGTGCCCATCTTGTCTGGGACACACATGCAAACCCCAAAAAACTAAGCCCCAGAGATCACGTACAAAAGATTTTTAAAACGGCGATCTCAAAACAAACTAAATAATCCCTCCCACATAAGAGAACCCGTAAACAAAATTGAAGTGCTGTCAAGAGCCTGCCAAACCAACAGGCGGCGATATAATCTAAACCCTAAAGCCATGTTGGCCAATCAGAAGCCTGTCAACATGTCAACGCTGCAGAGTTTCTGATTATCTTAACCCCGGAAGGAGTTATCCAAAAGGTCTGTTTTCAGTGACCTAAAATTGTTTTGGCGTGTGGAAGAAAGGCCAAAATGCATAGGAGGGGAAAAAGGGAAACAATAGTGTTATAAAAACACACAAAAAAACACACAAAAAAAAACAAGTGTTCATGAAGAAAGGGCCCCAAGCCCAATACTGTACACTTCCCCCAACACCAAAGCCAAGCATCACAAAGTGTGACATGCTCCTGAGTCATGATTTTACCCCAGAAGCTGCAGATGCTCCCAGCACGAGCATCCACACATTTGCAGCCCAGTACTCTGCGGCCCTGTGACACTGTACAAGTCAGCCAGAGCCATGCCTCTGCAATCGTCAGACACGATTCCTGAGCTGTAGCGGGTAATTTAGAATGAAGGGAATTTACCCCAAATAGAACAAAACTCCCCCCGAGGACACTGAGAGCAAACTGTTCTTAGTGGGTTATGGCTGAGACAAAGCAGTGACACTCTCCTCTCTCTGCAACCTTCCTGCAGCTGCATAATAGCGGTTTATGGTAGAGTCTGACCAGTAGTGGACTTTTGAGGCCAATACTGTATTTATGGGGAATAAAAACAGTACTGTGTAGATGCCACCACTGTCTACATATTGCACTTTCAATATATGGGATATTGAAAATACATTTTGTGAACTTTTATTAAAGCAACTTTACCCACTAAGGCAGTGCTTCATTCCACACTACTTTATTTTCAGTTGACAGCTGAATGTGCTGTGGGCAGTACTGAGAATGTTATAAACATTGGTGTAGTAGCTGCTCGATTGGAAAATCTATGAGATCACGCATTTTCCAAATTAATCTGGGAATGACAGCTGGGATGGGCTCCGGCCCAGTTGGATAAGTGGGAGAAAGATGGATGGATATACTTTTTTTTTTTAATAGTTAAGCATCATCTTCTGTGAATAACTGCTTAAATGATTAAATAAATGTTTCTGTATTTGAGTTGTATTTATGAAGACACCTGTATCTCTGTAGCCTGCTATTATTATCATTTGAATATCAAATGATAATAGTAGATTGTTTGGGTGTGGGTGATGTCGGTTTCTCCACTCCAAAGTTGAAGACTTGGACTCATCAAGGCAAATAGCTTTATGTTATGCTTGTTTGGCAGGGAGAGACATTTATTTTGAAAATCTTTGAATTGCGCTAAAATTGTCCACAAATTTGTTGAGCCTTGTTGTGCAGCATAGCACAAGTTAGACTGCAGTAACGTTGGACCGCACTGAGAATACTAGGCAGTTGTTGCAGTCATTAGGCATTAGCGCTTCCTTGTCTCACTAAAGCTCCGGCTGTTTTTGTTTAAGACATAGCTTTCCCCTTCAATTTCTCGCTTAGCATGGTGGTGACAAGAATACTGTCAGCCAAGGTGAGTTTTAAGACAAGGTTAAAGTTGTCCAGTGGATAATGCCGGACATGGGCATTGGTTTGGAGAATGATTGCCTGTGTGTTCTTCACTACTGCCTGTGTGTGGTTTTTTTTTTAAGTTGTAACATTTCCTCTGATTGTCTCATCTTCTTGTTTTCCGACTCTTTCACCTTTCCACATTCCACTCAGTCTAGCTCTGTTCCCCGTAGACGTTCTAAAAGATGCAGGAGAAGTACCTTTTGTCCTCTTGGTCTACTTCTTCAGTCCTTGTGCCTAATTGGCATAGAGTGCTGACATTTACACTCTTGGCCCTCAGTGACACAGCTACCTTTACACCGTGAAACAGCTTATTAGTTAGAAATGAGTCTTCCTCCTTTCTCACTCTTCTCAAGCCCATTCTTTGCTTTTCTCCATTGAAGTTATCTTGTTGTTTTGTATCTGTCTCTATCAGAATCCCAGTGTAAACACCAGAGTCCATTATCTTGGAACTGTCTTAATGTTGAGTTAATGTGGCGTGATATGACATTAAGGAAAATATGCTCCAAATGATTTATTTCACCCCAGCAACGTCAGTCATTCTCATCCCCAGAAGTTGGATGGCTGTGTCTGCAGCTCAGGCACTAAATGCAGGAAGCTTGGCTGGCAATGGTCCTAAGAGGCCCCATTATCCCAGTGCAACTGACTTGGTAGGGATGAAATTCCCAGGCGATTTGCCCCAACTGACACAAAATGAAAGACGTTGGCTCCTGTCTGAGTGGTAAAGGGATTTCCACTTGGAATACTTGAGATTAGCCCTGAAGTTTGATCCTGCACAGACTCCATTAGTGAAAGTAGAAGGGAAGGAAGCAACAAATATTGAAATTCCATTATGGATAAAGAAAGGCTATTTGAAGGTAGATTAGGTTATTCCCATTCTTGTTCCAGGGCAGTTGAGTGTATTTCTTTTGAGGACGTTTTGATTTTTTTGCCCCACCCTCTAACAAGACTAGTTTTAAACACCGTAATGCCTTAGTGCCATAGGCACGCACGCTCATACATCCTTTGCTCCCCATGTGTCTCATTCCACATCCATCTGCCCAGCTGTGTGCCACACCTGGCAGCTCGGAACAACTGGAGAGTCATTAAAAATGAATGAACCCCATTGAAGACAGACGGAAATGAGGAATTAATCCAAGCCTGTGTGCTCATTTGAAGGAGACTCAGTTCTGTTTGTATGACAGATAATGATGGCGCTCATAGAAGAGCGTGGGAGGGGCAGGGGTGGCGAGCATACTGGTATTGTCATTCATAGCCTCCTTTCTCCTGTTAGTGTCTGTCGTACTTTCCCACTGCATCATTGTCATTTTGTGCATTCAGTTTTCTCCCTCTTCTTTTTCTCATACCCTCGCAAAAACTACACCTGTCACTCTGCGTTTGTGCGTCCGTTTCTATTACACATGTGCATTTATTCACTCTGGGAGCAACACAAAACCTCAGCCTCCTTTGAAAATGCAAATGGGTTCTATTTGTGGCCGGCTGCTGTCACAGAGTGGGCGATCGTGTTGAGGGAAGTTTTTGTCTGCAGCTGTGTGTGTAAGTGTGTTTGCAAGAATTGGGCTCCCTTGGTCAAAACATCTTTGTGTGAATGCGCAAATGATTAAAAGACCACCTTATTAGAATACTTTTTATCTGAGTAAAAAGCATGTGGTCATTGTTTGATAGGGTTTGAAGAATCAGTATTTCTAAAGTGTAATAAACAAAAACAAACATTCTGAACATTCATTTACCTTTAAAAAGGTGCAAATAATGTTTTACTTTTAACAGGTAACAGGTGTTTTCACCTGTGGTGCCCAAACTTTTGCACATTCGTGTAAATGAAAATGTTCCAGCTCACCTTTATTTACTGGCTTTTAATACAGCATGAGAGTTATTTGTTAATTCATATTTGGTGTTTGCTTTTAATACTCTAAGTTGTTTTATTAGGTATGTTGTATTCTTGTACAGTTATTTTATTATGTATGTTGTATTCTTGTACAGCACTTTGGTCAACGCTCTTGTTGTAATTAAATGTGCTATATAAATAATTAAACTATTAAACTATCACCTCACCATGTTTCTCTTTGCCTTGGCACTTTCGTGTCTTTTTACTTTGATAACGCTACATTTGATTATTTCTTTGTGTAATGTGTCAGCACTGAAAGTAGCAGATGCTTTTGTCAAGAGGAAGATGTGCAACACTCTTAATTTTTCCATTAGTTTCGGGGACTGTAATGGAAAGTGGGAAAAGGGAAAAATAAGTTGACCTTGTGGAAAAAATGTTTTCTTCCTGTCTGTATGCTTGAGATCAGAGTTGGTGCATGTTCTTTTATGAGAGGTTGTAGAAAGTGCAATATGAATAACTTTCTCCTTCCCCATCCTTCTTTCTCTTTTCATTTTCTCCTGTCCTCCCCGCATCCTGATCCTGACCTCCTTCATCACTTATCAATCTCTTCAGGAGAAGAACAAGGACAAAGACAAACGCTTCCGTCCCCTCTATGACATCCCCTACATGTTTGAGGCCCGAGAGTTCCTGAGGAAGAAGCTCATTGGTAAAAAGGTAAGAACCACTGAGAGTCACTCAAACACACCTGCATTCACCAGTTTTACCCTGTCTCTGTGTGTGTGTGTGTGTGTGTGATAGTGTGTGAATCAAAATGAATACCTCTTATCAGCTTTAAGAAATTAAACAATAGTTGTAATGTAGCTGCTCCAACACCCTTTCCCTCCCAGTGGTATCTAAATACATTTCAAGTTAGATAGCTATTTCTCTCCATCTCTTAGTGTGAATACCAAATACTCCTGGTAGATGCCCTAGGGCTTGGTGCTGCTCCATTTAAACAAGCAATGTTGATTTCCCCCTCTTGTGTCTATTGATCCACCGGGTCTGTACACCCTGGGGGAGGGAGCTGGGGCTGCTATGATTTACACACATCTGACCCAGCAGAAACCAGCAGTGAACTGAAGAGCACTCCAGAGAACGCACCATAGCTTGAGCATTTTATCTAGTTTATTAAAGTGAAATCGAGCTGATAAATGAAAGTTGGTTTTGTGAATCTTACCAAAACAACATTTTTATCCGTCTCATATGCACAGGTTAGTTTTTGGAGAAGGGTCCCCTAAGTAAAACCGTGTAATTAGATCTATGAAGCGTAATATACCTGCTCAAGACTCCACGCAACACCCAAAACCTTCCAGTGAATGAAGAGGTTTATTCAAAGTACCTATCAAGAAAGAAAGAAAGCGTATTAAATGGAGATATTGCCAGCCTCAGAACTGACAAACAAATGAACGCTTGAGGTTCAAACGGGCGCTTTTAATAATGATGAAAGGGAAGATGTTGGATTTAATTATCAGTCTATCGATAAATAGCGACTGAGCAGGGAGCTAATAAACGTCTGTAAGACTTAATTAATTCTAACCGGGACACATTCAGACTAATTCACAGCAATTCAGAGTACCAGCGACATCAACTGCGATCCTAAGGCATCTGATTTTTCATTTTTTTTTGGTCGGCTCGTCTCAGTTAGAGTCAACACGGCTCTGCTGCGCCACAAGCTGCTATTTTGGGGTGTTACCCTACTTTTCAGGTGATCTGCCAGCAGCGTCGAAGCACGTTCAGACGGGTAGAGTCAGGCGATATTAGTGATGCACAAATGCAGTTAGAGGTCATCAAGAAAAAAAGACTTTTATTGTTCCCTGGGCAGCTTTAAATGATGTTGATTAAAGTCATTAACTTAATATGGCTTAAGAATCTGTGTAGCGCATCTTTTAACTTTTTCAAAATAAAGAACTAATTCATCTGCCCTTTTTTTTTTTCACTCTGTCACATTTAATTTTCATAAACTTAATGAAAAGCAAGCATTTGTGAACATGTACAGGGCTGGCCGGGACATCCTCTTAGGTGTGGTTAAGGACTTTTGTGCTGATCTCCTCTCAACTTCTTTGTATAAAGCTTATACTTTACTCTTTTAGACACACAAGTTCATCTCAATTAATGAATTAAACACCATAAAGATGACAGTTATTGTCTTGGACACTCTCAGGAACCAGATTATGACTTTTTTTTTTAAACGCAAATAATTAAATGACACATTATTCATACATCAAATTCCACAAACAATTGCATTGAACTTATCAATTTTGGAAGCTTGAGCATATTTCTGAATGAGCTTTACTACAGCTGCGCCTCAGAGGACTTGTATAAAGAGGTGTATAGTAGACTCCAAGCGGAACTGTATTTACATCAACTTTACACGCGAAGTTTGCATGCCAGCAATTTGCTTGTGGAACTCTAACCTTCTTCTCTGGCGATGATTAGTTTTTTTGTTTTTTTTATTGGACGCATGAGCCACATTCTTCATTTTCACCATGATGAAATGCAAATAAAATAATTCCAAGAATAGCACAAAAAAGTTTGAGAGAAGATTGAAATTGTGTTGCAACATAAATAACATTTCAGAGATTTTCAGTGCTTCAGTCTGTTTGACCATTGTAACCATAAAGATAAAGCGTGGAAACAAGGATGACCAAAGAATCATTCATCTTCCTAATTGCCGATTTCTTTAGACATTAATGTCACTAACAAATGCAATTCTTTTCAGGACTTGCATTTTACATTTAACCAAAAATCTGTGACCTGGATGTCCTTCACAGTCCATCCTAATTACTTCATGATTCAGATTCACAGCCTTCTCGCATCTGCCTTTTTTACTTATGTAATTAAAACACTAGGTTAGTTTTATGTCTTTATGCTAAATGATGGAATTGTTCTCCATTTTTACCTTTTAGTGTATAACTCTGCATCTTTCATATGTACGCTACACCTACATTGTTTTCATTGTGCTACAGTGGCAATTTTCCCACCTCCAGTGGCAGTAATGCATGGAGAGAAGGCGGCAGACCCAGAGCTTTTGTCCATTGCCTGAGCCAAATAATGGTTTATGTTTTCCCATAAAGATAAGTTTAAAACTTGTCAGATGCACAGGGGCCATATAATAATAGGGCCATGTTGGAAAAGATTGCAGAAATTTACATGGAAATGCAGTTGCGAGCACAGATTGATGGAAACTGTCATTATGCGCAATCACCCTGACAAAATGACTTCCCCAGATAGAAGTTAACTCATAAATTCAATACTGTTTTGCAATTGACTTCTAAAATTTTGGAGCTTAGACCTCAACAAATCCATCCTTTGTGTGCTTTGTGAAGTCTCAGCATGTATTTCCAGTGGTACGAGAATGTACCAAACAATTGTAGCGATTTAATGGGGCCAAACTACAGCAGCCTTACAATAAATGGAGCCAACATGTCACCCACACCTTCATAACTGTTCAACTGAGTTAAAAAAAAAAAAAGGCAGTGCAGGCTGATAAACACAAAAACACGCACCCACTCAAAGCCAAAAGCCAATAGAGTTACTTTTGGCATTCCGTGTGAGATTCATATCTCTGTCCCAGCCTCTCATCAGTCATTTTAATCATACTCATTAATGTTTTTTTAATGACAGAAAATTCAGCCGTAAGCCGGCTTCTGCGACTGAAGTGCGAATAATGATCGTGCTGTTTATTTGTGGTGTTTGTGTTTGGAAAGATGAGCGTGCGGGTAGTGGGAATAGAAACCTATAGCCTTGTTAAGGTATAAAAAGATGTGACAGTGTTGTGATAAATATGCATGTGTCAGCCTAATGTCATGTTGACTATAAAGGCTTGTGTGCAGGGCTTGTCTACCAAACAGTGGCTCATGTGTTTATGGTGCATGGATATGCATATAGATGATGTCACAATACATATGCACTTAATTTAGAGCTTGAGACGTATATGTAAACATCTATCAGAACCCTCACTTGTGCGCTGTAGCCATTAACTGTTTACTCATGCAAGTACAAATGGCATGCAACTCAGAACATGTGACATTACTCATATCAGTCTGCACTGTCTTTATACTAAGTTTGATTTCACGGTGTTTCTTGCTTAGACCCACGGGTGTTTCAAAAGTCAACTCAGCTAAAGCCTTACTGTTTCTCTCTAAGCCTCTGGCAAATTGCTGTTTTGTAGCATTTATCGCAGAGGAAAGTACACATGATTGTGTGTGCGTCAAAAGGAGTTAGTGTCTTAAGTGTGTTGACTGTGCATGTTTTCACAGGATTGAATCACTGGCTCTGTTTGCCCAGTGTATTCAAATGAATCCTGGCTGATCCAATCACATGTAGACAGCTCTAAATGCAGGTGGAAGCACCGCTTCATGACACGTTGAAAGATTTGATCACTCAAGGTATAGCTGGAAGTGGTGGCCATTAAGGATCTGTTTGTCTGCATGCAAAATCAACCTTGAACACTTAATCAGTGCTATAATATGTGCAGGGCACAAAGAACTCCCACAGAACATTTAATACCCGAGGCAAATTACCATCTCTCTTGCTACAGTATCATCTGATAGCTTTCTCTACATGGCATTTCTCTTAAGATCTGCCCTCGTGCTTCCCTTCTCTGTTATTAAGTTAAGTTAAGTTATTAACTTCATAGAAAGTGCAGTTAAGTGACATATTTGCTGTCAAAACAGTTTGACTCAAACTGTGTTTTTTTTTTTTTTTCTTTTTTAAAAGAACTTTGTACAGTTCTTCTGCTTTAGGCTATGGTTCATTTAATCAAAGACTGACTACAGAGTGGTGGCTTAATTAGTTAAAATTTAAACAAGAGAACAAAAATTATGACTATTTGACTAGCTTAAAACTGAGAAACACTATAAATTAAGCATAATCTAAGTGATGAGAGTAAACACTATCCATATAAATATTGCATGTCTCTTTAAAAGCTACTTGTAATTGTTAACTATCTTCTTCAACACTCAAAATGTACATTTTGCTTGAAATCTGTGGCAGTTTGCAAACGTATAGTGCCAGATTAGCTTGTACATTGTGACTAATGCTAGCAGTACTAACACCAGTAGCCTTGTTTCTTTGCAGGTGCAGAATGTGGTTACGCATTGCTGCAGCTGAGTGGTTGAATGTCTGCTGACATAGCCTACATAAAAGCTTTTACTTCTATTTTCTATTCTTCTATATTAGAGTACTGAAGAGATTCAGAGACCAGGGTAGACAACTGCCATCGTGCCTTAATAAAATATATAATAAATTGGATAAATATGCTAAATTGATATATGGAGTATGAATAATTACTTTAACCGACTTATATTTCCGTTGCCTAGACAACTAATCATGCACGTCCCTACTCTGAAGACATCCCTTTATGACTTTGACTGCATGTTTTTCATACTGCTGAATGAATTTAGAACTGTATATATAGCATATGCCACCATATTCCTCACCATTTGATTAGTATTGACATTGGATTCCCCCAAGTGTGTACTTATAGGCTCTTTGAAGTGAGTTAGGTTTAAGTGGAGAGCTCTTGCCCATTTGCCAGCAGTACAGCTTCCTCTCTCCTCACTGGTGAATCAATAACAGAGCAACTCTGGAATGTTGCCTTCCTCCTGTTTCTTTATTGTTCCAAAGACACAAGGTTAAACCGTTTGTCACATTGTATCGTTTTTAGAAATAGT